ACCCCGCCAGGCCTCTGTGCCTGGGCGGGATACCCCAGAAAGGCTCTGCTCAACAATGACGCAGATTCTGTTGCAGCAGCCCCCAGCGCAGTCTTTCCGCAGCCCTAACGCAGCGCGGCAGAGCAGGGCGGGAGGGCGGAGTGGCAGGGCAGCAGTGGCAGGACAGCAGGGCGGAGTGCGGAGCAGCAGCAGTTCCAGGGCAGGGTGGGCCGCTGTAAGACGGGGTAGGGGGGCGTAGCAGGGAGCAGGGCAGGGCAGAACAGGGCAGTGCCGGAGGGCGGGACGGGGCAGCAGCGGAGCATGGCAGGCTTCAAGTTTGTTGCAAAAACGCTGCAAGTTTGCTCCATTCATTGATTTCAACGATCGCCACATGAGATCTGGTCCTTCAGCCCGGGCGATTGTACATGGCGTCGAAGGTTTGCTGCAGGAGGTCCTGGACGAGATGGACCGCACCTTCTTTCCTTGAGGCTCCGATCACAAAGAGAGGTAGACACAAGCCCTAAAGGCCCTAATAGGCCCTATAAGCTCGTATCGGCCACCTGCCTGCACGGTGCACTCGGCCTGGCACTGCCAGATTGAATGCCGAGTGTTCCAGGAAACACCTAATCGAGGACAATCATCACTGTGACTTTACAACACACAGCCGCAGCCTTGGGCGACGTATTGCGTCAGAATGGGAGCTGCCTCGCGCACCTCAGCTATGCAATTGACTGCAAGAAGCTGCCAATATCTATCGTCCGCCACAATCAAGTGAAGCAAGCACCCTTTTCCTGCCGACCATTGACGGAAAGGGCCACTGGTTCTTCAAGTCCGTATCTGTCCAAAGTCTGCGCTAACATCAATCAGCGGCATGTCTGTTGGAAAGGGAACCAGATGAGTCAGGTTCCGCAGCTTGAACTTTGGGCAGCAATTCAGAAAATTCGGCTTCTTGACTTGAGGAAGCTGCCTTGACAACTTCTTACCGTTTACCCGCTCCAAAAGGATGAGCTCGACATCGACATCCATCGAATGCATCTGCGCTACCTCTGAAACATTCTGAAATTGTTCTTGCAAGGCACGCCCTTGCTCAGGTTGCTCGCTCACCAATCGACATAGCCACGCCAGGACACGTTCAGACAAGGGGGCGGGCTGCACGACTGTCGTGTTTTGCCTTGCGCCCACGCCAAGTGTTTCCAGAACAGCAAGCGAAGCTACAGGCTTTTTTCTGTTCTTGATCTGTAGCAGGCGTACAAGAGGTTTCTTATCATTGCAAGCCCGACGCAGAACTATGACGTCAGCTCCTTGTGCTTTGGGACCATTCAGCAGCACAACCGTTTCCCCGCTGGTCAGGGCTCTGAGAATCTCTCTGAACAAGTTCTGTGGAACACCTGATGTCTTGCCTGTATCTTCACTTGGAGGAAACCGGTATGGGAGATGCATGGTGGTGGCCTTGTTGCCAGTTAACACTTCTGAGAAGCGCCTCTCAGACTCCGCCACCAATGACTCCAGGCAGTCTCCATCCTCTGGTATGATGGTGGGCACGTCGAACGCTGCCAGAAGCATGTGCGCCAAGGCGTGCGAGGAGCTGAAGTGGACTGTACTGCGGTAGCCTCTGTCAGCTGGTTTGTCACGCAGCAGATCGAGCGCCTTGCTGTAGTTCGAGAGGCTGCGCAATCCCAGCTGGACACCAACTAGAGCTTCCTCTCAAGTTGGCATGTCGTCTTTCAAGACGATATCTGGGTGCATCAGAAGTTTGAGTGCGTTCCGGGCAATAGCTTCTCGGGCTTTAGCGTCTGTTACTCGCTGCAGCCCGTTTTGTGTCCTGTACCTCAGTGGTACGTAACAACCTGCATCCCATGGGAGGCGCTTCCAAATCTGCAACACCTTGTCGCTGTCTACTTCTTTTGGCACTTCTGTGAAGCGCCTCAACTCCTCAAAGAGTATGCACGCAGTCCTCGCGTTGCTGAGGTAGGGTCGCAAGAAGTTAACACTTCTTACGTCTGACAAGCTGAAGCCTTGTAGCGGCAGCGTCGCGTCTAAGAGCTTTTGCAAGTAAGCATCACCTTGGACGTCACCTACCCGGACTAAAGAAACACAATCTGGATCTGAGGCAATTTCAGCGGACCCTGCACCTGGTCCCAGAATGGCGGCAGCAGATGTTCCTGCCAGGACCAACAAAGCTGTGTCACAGTAGTTGGCAAGTTTGGTGTAGATTGCATCTCGTGCGCTGGCTACGCCACGAGCCAGCTCCAAACACTTGCCGATTTCATCAATTATGAAGACAATGGCTCCCAGAGCTGTCGTGTTACGATTCTCGTCCTCAAGCCACGTATTGACAATGGTATCTCTGTACTGCTTAGGAAAGGCTTTCCGGACCTCTTCGATGAAGCTGTCGACAACAGAATCTGCGCAAAGTATGTTGCGCCGATCGACGTCGCTTGCGGCTTTGATATTCTTCAGTCGTTTGTCCAGGCTATCCTCAGTTTGTAAGCTAATAGAAAAGACGCGCACTGTCGATCTGGTATTCTCCGCCAGTTTCAGAGCCGGCGCAAGCATCGCCTGCACTGATTTACCGCTCCCACTCTCCCCAAAGAAAATGGGGATACTGCGCTTCCCATCCTTCATGCTGTCCACAACAGTCGCCTCTTCACCAGTTGTGCTTGTGAGCTTCTGCGCATTTCGGACGTAGCCGCACTCAGGAATGCTGGTGAAAAGAGAGCCGTATACCCATACTTTGTTATCATGGTTGTAGGAGACATACGTCTCCTTTTGCGTGATGTTCAGAAAGGTCAATGCCTTTCAGGGCACGGGTTGCCATGAAACATGCCAACTGACGTGACACTGAGAGCACAAAACAGGCCCGCCAAGAGAAGCGTGACTAGTGCATGCCAGAGTGGCCGAAGGGTCGCTTAAGCCTTGAACTGCCTCGAACAGGGAATCAGCATTCGCAGCCTCTAGCTTGCACCGGTTCTCGAGCTGATCTTGCGTGACTCTGAGCAGCTGCGTGCCAGTCATCCCAGTCAGCTTGCCAGTGCCTCCAAGGAAAAAGAATGGATGGTCGGATGGTATAAACGAAATTTACACCCCTGGCCTCTTGGATCGCAGAAGCGTCGTACTTGGAAACCAGGTTTGCTGCAATCCACGCAGCTACTTGAATTTGCCCGTACCTTTTCACGTCGCTCCTGGTTGCGGTCCAGGCCTGCTCCAACACCTGGGCCAGGCGGCATCCACAGCTCGGACTGCGATCGGCAAGGACAGAAGTGTGCGGCCGAGCGACCGATATGACATCCGCATCCTCAAGAGCTGAACTCATCATACTCTTTGCATCCAGCTTGACCAGCGCCGACAGCATGTCACCTGCTAGCGCCGTCCCCGCCACATCTGAAGTTTAGCCGCAGCTCCGAGGCCGCCGCCGACCATCTTGATCCGATCCTGTGCCGGAGCAACGCGTGCTATGGAGACAACTTCAATGAACAGCCTGGCCTGATCGTCCCCCGTAGATTTTCTAATTCTAACTGCTTCTTGATTACGTCGATGGCCTCGGCTTTCTGGGTTGCCAAAAGAGTCATTCAGGGATGCTGAACTGCAGACCCTCCACAGCACAACATGGGCGAGCGTCTGCTTTCAAGAGGTTTTTGTCCTTCAGTTGCAGCTCGACCAGCGCCGACAGCATGTCATCTGCCAGCGCCGTCTCCGCCACATCTGAAGTTTAGCCGCAGCTCCGAGACCGCCGCGGACCATCTTGATCCGATCCTGTGCCG